TTTATCATGCAAAGTTCGGAAAAGTTCGCTGCATGTGAAATATGAGCGCTAAAACAATAGATTAGATTTGCTGAAATTAAGTGGAGACGGAAGTTTTAACTAGGGATTTAATATGCATTTTATAGCAATTTCTAATTGATGGAAAGCTTTGGAATGCATATGAAATGCTCTGCTTGAAACTTAAATGTTCCTTAAGTTCTAGGTTTAACTTCTGATTCATAGTTTAACTTAGTTAACTTAGGTCCAAAGCAACAGGTATAATAGCATAGGCTTACCTGTGTTGAGGTGTGCAACGCCTACATCTGTCTATCAGCCTGAACACATTTAAGTTCCTCTTTCCGTCGTGAGATTTTTGAACAGTTTATATAATCTTAAAAAATAAATTAATAAATAAATACAAAATTAAGAATGTGTAAAAAAATAAAGAAAAAATTATGTAATATAAAAAAATAAGAACAAAAAATAAATATAAAGTAAATATATACAAAATTTTAGATGAAGTAAAAAACAAAAGTGAACTGACAAAAATAAAAACAATTTTAATTAAACAAAATTTAACCACAAACAATCCAAAGGCGAGCTATTTCGAACAATAATAATTTTAATTTTTTTCTGCTTTTATTTTTATTTATTTACTTACTTTTATATATTTTTTTTCATTTATTTATTTTTTCTTGTTCTTATTTCAATTCATTTATTTTTATTTTTTTATGTTATTGTTTTTTTTTTTGTATTAATTTTCTTTTTCTTTTCTTCTTTTTAAGTTGATTGGACAATGATTTATTTATATTAATATATTAATTTATATTTTTTTTATATATGTTGTTCAAACTTCTCAAAGAAACATTCTTGTTGCTTTTAATTATATTCTTTTTATGCCAAATAATTTATAGATTTTTAATATTTTTTTATCAACGTTTTTTTTTCAAATCTTTTATTTTTGTTTATCAACAATTTTTATAAACTTTATTTATTTATTATTTATTCATTTCTTTGGATGCAAGTCAAGTTTAAGCATTTTTAGCTCTGCAGGTGCACATGTGTGCGAGGAAGAGAGACAGAGAGAGAGCGATAGTGCAGCATGCGTGAAACGTTAGATAGATAAAGAGAGGAAGATGTTGCTATGTTTTCACACTAAGCGAATTGTGCGAATATTTTTTTGTTGAACTTGTTTGCTTGCCAAATGCCTTTTGTGGCTGCCGTTGTTGTTGTTGTTGGCTCCTCTTGTTGCCTTTTGCTATTGTCCGCTGGCGCTGCCTGTTTTTGTTGCGTTTTTATTTCTTTTATTATGTGCGAATGTTTGTTTGTAATGCTCGGCGCCATTGTTGTTGTTGTTGTTGTTGCTGGTTGTGTGTGCGTGTTTGTATTTGTATTTTTATTTCATTTTGTTGTTGCTGTTGTTATGCGAACAATTAAAACTCTTTGCAATGACCTTGACTTTGTTTTTTTAAGTGTGTGTGTGTGTGTGTGTGTGTGAGCTTCCTTTTTCCCATTCACACGCGCCCAGCACGCTCAAACGTCAAACATAAAACACAAATAACAACAACAACAAAAGCCGTCTGAGTGTCTACTTGGTCTGAGTCTGAGTCTGGAACTGAGTCTGGGCTCGGGTCTGGTTTGTTTTTTGGGCTTATTTTGTTCTGCGCTCTTTTTTTATTCGAAATAAACCCCAAAAAGCAGAATCGAATGGCTGCACAAATATACAATAATAATACACCACAACAGCAACAACAACTACAACAACAAGTGCTCTCTGATAATGAACAAGAAACGTTTATTTCTTTATATATTTTTTTTGTTTGTTTGGAAGGCTTTCAGCAGCTTTTTTTGCTGTGGCTTAAGATTTGCGTTTGTTGCTGCAGGTCAGTTACTGGGGCAGGTTTCTGTTCTTCTTCTTCTTCGTCTTCTGCTCATATAAATATATACTTACTTTATCTCATTGTTTTCGCTTGTTTTATTTATTTGGGGCTTTGTTCGCTGTCAAATCATTTGCAATTGGCCATAAATTTGTTTTTGCTTTTGTTTTTTCCTCACATTTATCGCACTTTGTATATCAACTCGTTTCTGGGTTAGCAGCTTGATGAGAGCGGGATGTGGCTCAAATGACTTGCAGGAAACTTAGAGTAGAAATGGAAAAGTGAGACATCAATAATAAAAGACTAAATCTATCGATAAATTGTAAAATAAAATTATGATTATATATGTATTTAATAAATTATATAATATATATATAATAAAATTATGCAGCAATCATAAATATATATATTAAAATTAATACAATATTAAATAATAAAAAAATATAATAAAAACAATAGAAGAAAAAATTATAAGCAACAAAAAACTATTTATTAATTCATAAATAAATATATAATGAATATAAATATGTTTAATGATAGTAAAAATATTTACAAAAATAAAGAAAACAAACTTTAAATTAAAATTAATTTAAAATAAGAGTCGAAGAAAATATAACAGTAAATTATTTAAGTTATTTATCAAAAATTTTATTATTAAATTTAATGTATTTATTGTCTGGATGAAACGCAATTAAGTTCAGACTTTTACATATATAGAAATATAAATAATAATAGAAATATAATAATTGTAATACAGAAACATAAATAATAGAAAAATAAACAATAAATACGTCAAATATGTAATAAAATATGAAATATATTTTTAGAAACATTTATTTATATTATCGAGTTTTTTTATTAAAAGTCTTGTAAAAAAATATGTGACAGAAAATAATCGTGTTTAATATAAATAAATAATATATTTAAAATTAATAAACATTAAAATAAAAATGTATTATTTTTATATATAAATGTGTGTAGTTCGTCTAATACTATATTTTTAAATTTTAAAAATACTTTATTTTAAGTGAGGTCTAATTTAATTTGTAATTAAAGCTTTAATAAAAGTTTAATTTTAATTACAATTGCACGTAATTTGTATTTAACTGCTCTCAAATAGCATCGGCTGATATAGTTTCCCTTTATAAAGTCAACTACCTGCATTAAAAAGGTAAGCACCTTGCAGGGCCTTCAATTAGCTAAGCTCAGGTATGGCAATTCATACCAATTGCCAGCTACAGTTACTAAAAAAGGCCGAAACCAGAACTGAATCAGCAGCAGTCCGAAATAGGAATACGATCCAAAAATTGTATTACCATTAGCTCTGCGGCTCATTAACAAGAAGCTGACGCAGCGAGGGTGCAAAAAGCCCCAAATTCCTAGTTACTTTGCGCTAATGAAAAGCAGCTGAAAATGCGAAAGAAAAAAAACAGAAAAAGTAAAAAAATGTAAATACAAAAAATAATTACGCATATGTGCAATAAGAGCAGGTAGCGAGACCCCACTGAAGTGGAGCATGCCCGAAAAACCGCGTAGCTGCTGCTGCTGCTGCCGCTGCAAGTGCCGCTGCTGTAGAAGACAATGCGGTTGCCTATTCATATGTGCAACTATAATTACAACAACGTGGCAACACATGCTTCGTGGCAGCCAGTGTATCTGCCATCTAAAGGATGCCAGACCGCATCAAAGTCACACACACACGCACACACGGCGGCAGACAAGTACCGTTAGTTATAACTGTTTGCTGCAGTGCACTTGGCAGCACTTGCTTAATACATTTTTGCCAGCTGCCGCCGACTGGCTTGACTATTATTTTGCTACCTTGGCAAACCCATTAGGTTAATAAGTAGAAAAAGAGTGAAAAAGAAGAAGAGCAGCAGAGAATGATATACAACAAAAATATTAAAAAGGCAACAAAAAAAGAAGAGAATTCAAACTATGCGCGTGAGACGCGCCAATGGTAAATACGCCGCAAACACTGCCCCGCCTGTCAGTTTCCAGGTGCTCCAGCTGCCCGGCTGGCTGCCCGTTTTTATTTCTACTTACTGTGTGTGTGTGTTTTTTTTTTGCCTGGTCGGCCATATTTAAAGCGTTCGTAAGCGCAAAAAATTCCGCCAGACTTTTGAGTTGAAGCTGCTAGCTGCTAGCTGCTAGAAAACTGGCAACGTTGCATGCCATAAAAACGACTGCCCAGCGACGACATTTTTATGGCAACGCCAGCAACAACGCCACAGATCGATATGTGGCGCAAGCGAATGCGTCATATATTGCTAGCTCATTCGCGCACAGCGTTCATTGGCGCTCTTCGCTGCGCATAATCCAAGCGAGCAATGAAAGCAACACCAACACACACACACACGTGCACACAGCAACAGCACAAGCCGTGCACAGCGTTTATTTGATTTATTAGCGTGCACAGCAGTCACTAGCGTTGTCTCTGTCTAACGCTCACGCCTGCCCAACAGCACAGTGTAACTGGTTTGCAAATGCCGTCACACACAGTCACACACACACTGGCGCACCGTACTATACCCGTTTGACTAGCCACCCTGAACGTGTATGCGTGCATGCATGTATGAGTGTATCGCTGCGGCAAACGGCCTCAGTCTCAGCTGCTGGCCAGTCAGTCTCTCATTCGTCTCTCGTATTCGCTGTCGTCAGCACACGCGCACGCAACGAGCAACGGATTCGAGAGTTTCGCGTACGAGTTTTCGCCCTCACCTCGTCCAGCAGACTCACACTCGCACACGCACACACACCAACAAATTTATACACGTATATACGTACGTCGTCGGTTATTCGCTTCGGTGACGGCGCTCGTTAACGCTTGGGAACAGGTTTCGCCGCTGTCCGCTCGCTCGACGGCGAAACAGAAAGGTGCTCAATTCCGCGTTGTGTGGAGGTATTTTTCGACGTCTCACGCAACGCGCTGATTTTTGCCCAAATAGCAAAAATTCCAAAAAAGCAGAAAATCTCAAAGGAAAAAAACAACAAAAAAAACTCAAACTAATTTTTCAAAGCACATTTCGCGACGCGTTTTAATAAACAAATTTCAAGTGTTTTGCGATCAAATGTTTAAATAAAGCAAAAAAGCTAAAACAAATAGCAAAAGCAGTTGCAAAAGGCGAAAAGAAATAAATATATATATATCTATATACATATATATATGTGTGTCAATTGCCAAAACTTGCGGCAATTCCGAACAACTAGATAAATCAAACAAGTGCAACATGGTTTCCATAACAAATGTTCAAACAAATCATAGCCAATAAATAACTGATAAAAAAATTAAAAAATAAAAAATAACTTAACCATCTCAGAATATTAACTGAACTAAAATAACTGTGAAAGCTGCAAAAGTGACTTTGGCTAACAGCAAACAGCAAAAGTATCTGCAAGATACAAACGTGCATTTAACGGATTTCACACTAATTGAAGTGTTCTGGATATTTAGGCATCTACAGGTGCTAACAAAGCCCACAGGCAGCAGCTAGTAAAAAGTATCTGCAACTGTGACTAACTGCAAATATTTAAAATCAAACTCAAGTCAAAAGTATCTTTGAGTTGCAAAAGTATCTGCAGGCTATAAAACGCAGCAAAGGCAGCAACAGATGCACAAAAAAGTATCTGCAGCTAAGGAAAAGAAGCTTAAGCAAATGTATCTATGAATTGTAAAGTAACTACAAAAGTATCTTTGAGTTACAAAAGTATCTGCAGCTAAGCAAAAGGCAGCTAATGCAAATCTATGAATTGTAAAGTATCTGCAAGCGGCGATATACAGAAGTATCTTTGAGTATCTGCTTAAAAGTATCTGCAGCCAAGGCAAGGCAGCTAAAGCAATTGTATCTTTGAGATACACAATAAAGTAGCTACAGCTATTAAAGCCAATGCATTTATGATATGCAAAGTATCTACAAGCCAGTAGAGAGCACACAGCCAAGTATTTGCAACGCAGCAAATGTATCTACGACTAGCAAAGTATCTATAGCATACTAGAGACAGCCAAGAGCAGCACCGAAAGTATCCAAGAGCCTTGCGTTAGCTTGATGTATTTGCCCTGATCACTGGCAAACTAGAGCTTGAAATCCAATTGCCCAGAGCAACACAGATTGCAACATGCTGACCATGGAAGCGGACATGAAATGTGGCATCTTGCCTGGACAAATGCCGCCGCTGCATGGCCATGCGCACGCGGCTGCTGCAGCCACTTCATACTCGGCGTTGGCGCCGCTCATGAACCTGGGTCCATCACATCTCACCCACTCGCATCTCAGCCAGCACAACCATCACCATCATCATCATCATCATATGAGCGCACATATTGCAGCCAGCCAGAGCCCCAATCCGCTTAGCTCGCTGCAGTCGAGCATTGCCAACACGCTGAACGGCGCCACGCAGCAGCAGCAGCAGCAGCAGCAGCAAAGCTCGCCGTTGCACAGCTCCAGCGAGCTGAGTCCGACGCAGAGCAGCATTGGCAGCCATCACATGACCTCACCAGTTAGCCATCATCAGCAGCAGCAGCAGCAACAGCAGCAACAGCAGCAGCAGCAGCAACACTCGCAGCATCCATCGCTGATGGGCGCGGGCAGCGCCTTGAGCAGCATGACCTCCAGCAACAACAACAACAACAACAACAGCGCCACAGCCAACAAGAATCAACAGCACGCGGATCGCGTCAAGCGGCCAATGAACGCGTTCATGGTCTGGTCGCGCGGCCAGCGTCGCAAAATGGCCTCGGACAATCCGAAAATGCACAACTCGGAGATATCGAAACGTTTGGGCGCCCAGTGGAAGGACCTGTCCGAGGCCGAGAAGCGACCCTTCATCGACGAGGCGAAACGTCTGCGCGCCGTCCACATGAAGGAGCATCCGGACTACAAATATCGTCCGCGTCGCAAGACCAAAACGCTGACCAAGACCAAGGAGAAATACCCGATGGGCGGCGCTGGCCTGATGCCCGGCCAGGTGCAGCCAGGTGGCGAAATGCCCGGCACCCCGACGCGCATCAGCCAGGTGGGCATGTCGCAGAACAGCCAGGCGCTGAACGGTGCGAGCGGTGCATCGGCGGCCGCCGCTGCTGCTGCCGCCGCCGCCGCTGCCGCCCAACAGGTGCGCCCCAACATACATCAGATGAGCGTGCCCAACGGCTACATGCCCAACGGCTACATGCATCCCGATCCCGCTGGCTACCAGACGCACTACATGAACTATGCGCCGCGCTACGAGATGACGCACATGTACAACGGCTACGGCATGTACGATACGGTGGCTGGCGGCCAGACCTCGCCGTACGGCAGCAGCAGCTTGCAACAGCAGCAGCAGCAGCAGCAGCAGCCCGGCTCGCCGTCGCCGTACGGCAGCGCGGGCCTGCAGCAGCCGGGCAACGGCTCGCCGGCGCCGTATGGCGCGCAAATATCCTGCCAGAGTCACAGTCCCAGCGATTCCAGCATCAAGTCGGAGCCCGTCTCGCCCAGTCCCAGTGCGATTGCACTGAACAACAACAACAACAACAACAATAATAATAACAACAACAACAACAATCACATTATGAAGCGCGAATACGTGACATCGGCGACAGCAGCAGCAGCAGCCGCGGCGGCAGCAGCCGGCGCTGGCACCGATCTCAACAATCTGATGAACATGTACCATCTGCACGACGCGCCCGAGCAGCAGCGTCATCTGATGCACTATCAAACGGCCTCGCCGGAGCTGCAGCAGCAATCGATGCAGCACGTGATGCATCACCAGCAGCAGCAGCAGCACCAGCAGCAGCAGCAGCAGCAGCAACTGGCGCAGCAGCAGCAACATCCGCAACAGCATCTGCAGCAACAGCAGCAGCACCAACAGCATCAGCTGCATCAGCAATCGCTGCGTGCAATGGCGCCGCTGGCACACATGTGAGAAATGGCCAGCGCCTATGGAGCAGCCGCCGTTGGGTCTGTGACGCCGCCGCCGCCTGCGGTTGCTGGCGCTTATATGCCAGCAGCAGCCGTAGCGGCGGCGGCAGCGGCCGCACAGCAACAGCAGCAGCAGCAACAGTTGCTGAATGGCCGGCCAAGTCCGACGGCATCGGGTTCGGGTTCGTCGGGCGGTCGCTCCTCGGCGCATTCTAGTGGTCATATTGCCACAGCGCATTCACCCGCCTTGGCGGCGGCTGCTGTTGCCGCTGCCGCCTATCAGTTGTCCGCAACAACAGCGGCAGCAGCCACCACCTCCTCCGCCACAGTCTCCGCTGCAGTCGCTGCAACTAGCTGCCAAGCGGCCAGTGCATTTGCGGCCTCGGCCAGCATGCTGGACATGCAACAACAATTGGAGGAGCAACAGCAGCAGCAGCAACATCAGCACTACCTGCAGCATCAGCAACATCTGCAGCAACAGCAGCAGCAGCAGCAGCAGCATTTGCAGCATCATCAGCAGCAGCAGCAGCAGCATCAGCAGCATCAACATCAGCATCAGCTGTATCATTATCATGCCACGCATCCGCAGCAGCTGCATGAAGCAAGCGCTGCCTTGTTGGATATATCCACATTGTAAATTATTGAAAATATATATATATATATATATATATATATATACGTATATATATAGATACTACACACACACATTTAGCGTTAATTGCAAGCATAAAACATAAACAATTTTTTAGCTTTAGTTTAACAAAAAAAAAGAAGAAGAAGAAATGAATTCAATTGATAAATAAATACGATTATTATAATATTAAACTAAATGCATTTTACAATTAAGCATACGCACTGTTGTACCATACAAAGCGAACATCTTTCCACGATCCACATTCCACAACTTGCATTCCACAACCAATTTTTGCTAATGAGAAAAAACCTAAACGACAATTGTGTGATACAAAAAAATTGTTGCAAAAATACAAAAAAAAAAAAAAAAACAAAACAAAAAATTTATATAAAAAAAATTGTTTCATGTTATTTTAATTTTTGTTTTTTTCTGCGCTGTACAAAAAATTAAAAAAAAGAATTCGAATTTCCAAAAAACACACAAAAAACAAGACGAGGCAGAAGATGAAGCAAACACATTCTATTTTATAGATTCTCTTATACATTAAGTAATTCTAATTATTATCTATTATATAAACAATTTAATTATAATTATTAATTATGCTTACGAAAATACTGCAAAGAAGAAAAACAAAAAACATGAAAATAAAATAAAACAAAACACAATTAATTGTAATAAAATCAAATACAAAAACAAAAACATTATTATTATTATTATTATTATTATTATTATTAAAAGGCAAGCATCTACCACATAATATTAAAAGAGAAAAACAAAAATAATTATAATACAACAAAATGTTAGTAAACCTAAAGAAAATTTAGTAAAAACAACTGAGAAAACCAGGCGCAAGGCAAACAGAAAAAAAAACAAAAACTAAAAAAAAATACAACAAAGAAAACTGCAGCCAAAGCGTCTGGTGAAAAACATTAAAAAACCAGAAAAATACACAAAAAAACACACAAATAAAAGAAAAATCTTTACAAAAAAAATATAAAACCGAATGTTTTTATTTAGTTTTTTTTTTAGATAGACAAATTTCTACATTTAAATTAATTTTTATTTTAGCACTTCCCAATTTGCCGACGGCTGACATAAATTTGAAATATATTTATTAATTTTCGTTTTGTTTCAACGTCACGTGCCGATTCTCTTGACATATTTATTTTTTAACAGCTTTTTTATGTGTATTATATACTCACATATATATAAATATATATTTTTAATAACAAGCTTTTCAATGTGCTAAATTAATAAAATGTTGAAATGCTGTTTGGATATTTGAGATTTACGACGATATTTTATGGCGTTCACTTAGTTCCGTCAGCAGACGAACTTGACTTGATTTCAGGATGGGCGGCGCAACGAAACCTGTTGATATACATTTGATCTTCGTCTGCTGCTGCTGCTTTCACGTCTTCTTTGGGCCAAAATATCCAGTGACGCCATAAAAAATCTTATTGCTTGACTCTTGCCTTGGTTGCGGTATTTAAAACACGAAATTTGCATCATTAACAAATTAAATGATTTAACGAAAAAATCGGGACCATTTAACGAACTCAACAAACATAAACGGGCCACATGTAGAAAATATATTTGCTTATTTTCTTTTTTATTTTTATCACTTAGAATATCAATTTAATGATGTATTAAATTACCTTTAAAAGGGTCAACAGTCTGAAGCGATTATTTGCTAAGCTTTTGATCATATTCAAATGGCTGAGCTGAAGATCGAGTTTTAAAAGACATTTTCTCGGATGATTAAAAAAATGATGAATTAATGAAAAAAGTAAGCAACATAAAAATGTTTTAATTTTTACAAGAAATTTTTTTAAAATAATAAATAATGCACATGCTAATGTAAATTGATAATCTTAATTCCAATTTATTTAATTAATGTAAAAAGCAAGCCAAGTTGTTTCCGGAATATTCCAAAACTATTTACATCTGCCAAATTGTAGCTAACTATCTTAAATAAATAGAAACTTGTTTTGCTTCAGTTAATAATATATACCAAATGCTTATCTAAATATCTCATTAATCTTGAATAAGGTTATTTGATTATTACTGAATATCTACTCTACCATAAATAAAACGTGAATATTTTCTTCCCATCAGTTCCAAAAGAAATTTCTATATTTACAAAACTATATTTAAAAAAATATTTATTAAACGTTTTTTTTAGATACAAATTAACTTAAGTTCAATATTCCTATTTTAATTTATTTATTAATCTTCTTGTTGAATTATTTATTTACATACATATATAACATATTTGCAATACAAGAGAATATTCTGTGTATCAAATCTAATAGCAATAACAAGTTCAAAGTATGGGAACACTAATAAATGTAAATATATAGTTTTGTTAATGCTAGAAATTTATCAATTTTTTTTATTTATTTAAAATATATATATATTTAACAATATAACTCTAAAAGATGAAACTACATTATAAAATATATACACATATAACGTGCAACAAATTCTTATTTTTATTTTTGATTTTTGTGTTTTATAATTTTGTAACTATTATGTATTATTTTATATAATTCCGAAGAAATACACTTATTTTTTATTTAATTTTATATTTTTTAAATTTTGTATATATTCATCATATTTTGTAAATTCTAAAATTCTAAAAAAATACAAGCATTTAACTATATTTAATGGTATTTTAATATATGTGTATATATATATATAAATAAATATATAATTTGCATGATTTTTCTTTGCTCTGGTTCGCCCAACCGCAAAATATTAGTTATTATCAGCAGCTAATTTTGATATAATTTTTTTTGCACTATTATTTACTTATTCTATTTTTTTAATATTTATTTTATAACCCACAATTTACGTGACCGGAAGGCGGAGTTTTGTAGTTGTCGCCGTTGATTTAATGCTAATTATATTAATTGGCGATTTACTCGAGTGCATTTTGTATAAACAAATATTATACTGTATACTGAAATACAGCTCCAATAATATTGACTCATCTGAATTTACGAAATTGTTCACAAACTTTCAAAAAGTTTTGTCGAGCCTAGCCTTTGCCTTTCCATTTTGATGAAAATCCACAGTCTTCAGTTGGCCTATGCCGCTCATTTTTTTTATTTATATTTTTATAACTATTTGTATTTAGTTTACAAGCGACCTCGCATTTCTATAAACAAGCCATAACACTCATACGATATTACAAATTTATGCAGCGGGCATCAGGCAAACAGCTCAAAATTTGCCCACACTTTGGGCATTTCTATACATAACTTTAAGGAGAATGCTTTTGAGTCGGCTGGTAAATACGCTTTTTAAGTTCAAATCAATCAAAAGATTTAATAGTTTTTTTCTTTCAGTTTTAAATTAAAAAATTTAACTTGTAATAAAGTGAATATGTAATAAATATATGCCTGCAAAATTTTTTATATTATTATGTATTATATTAAAATGCTTTTAAAAACCTGGAAGTCTAGATTAAATTCTGTGATTTTTTTTATATTTTTTGTATATATTTTTCTTAATTATTTTTAAAATATTTTTCATGTTATTTTATAAATTTTTTAATTTTTAACATTTATTTTGTATATAAATAAAAAATTAGATTATTATATAAAGCTTTTTTATAATTTAGAAAAATACAAATAAGTGCAAGTTTTCCTTTTTTTAGTAAAGTATCCTATATATTTTACTTTTATTTTAAATATAATTTTTATATTGTAAATAAAATGCCATTCCTTTTTAAAATTAGATTGTCAACTTTAAAAATCGCATATATTAACAATATCAAGCATCGTACAACTGCACCCTTTCCATGCTTTTTATATCTATGGACTCTAATAAAAATACATAAATAATTACAACACTTATTTATTATTTATGAAAATTGCAAATTCAACTATGGACACAAAGCACTGAGCTGACGTCAAGACAATAAAAATCAGAGTGTAACAATAAAAAGATTAGCAAAAAAAAACAATGAAAAAAATACGCGTAGACAAACAAAATAAATTATTTAAATTGTGTAAATATTAAATAAAGTTTACTACACTTTGTCATTTTTTTATTTATATATTTTTTTCTGCTGATTATTGCAATTTTTATAAATGGCAAAAGGAAAACAAACTAAAAAAAATTAAAATAAAAAGCTGCACGGAATTTCAATTAATCTGGGCGAGGTGTGTTTAAAACGTAATGCACATTTTTTTTAAAAATATTTTTACTTAATAATAATTACAATAAAAATGAAAAGAAAATAGGGAATCAAACATTCGTTATACCTTTAGGGCACACCTCGCTTATTATTATTTTATTTTAAGTCCAATTCTTTTTGCATTCAATTAGCTTTTAATTACAAATTATTTTTTATGCAAACTATATTTGATTAAAAATTCAATTTACTTTTTTTTTCTTCTTTTT